GGAAGATGACAAAGTTCATGGACATTAGTACTATTGGTGTATCAAAAGAAGATCAATTTAGATCTGCTAAGATTCTTTAAGTTGTCTCTAATAGCTGTTTGGATTTCACATTGAGAAATTTCTTTGAATATAGTCAGTCTCTTATGAGTGACAGATGGAAGATGTTTAGAAAAGTTGTTATGGACAATGACCTTTCTGTCCTCCAAAATTGTCCTCTTCAGTATTGCCTTTTAAGAAAAGACTTGTGTGTATCACACCCTGATAATCACAAAAATATTAGAATGTAACATTTTCTTTTTAGTCTATTTAAGAAATAATGTAACCTCATGTATTGGAATTTCTCTTCTTTTTAAACTATTCATTTTTGTCTTTATAAAAATGTCATGTCACATTTAAGATCTTAAACTCTGATATTATCGATATATATTTGAAAAAGTTTTCTTTTCTTTTGAATGAAAATATATAAGAAAATTTCTTAAGTAAAATCTTACTTTATTGATCATTGATGTACACAAAGTTACAAATTAGATTTGACAAAAATATTTAGTAAGGAAAGATCAGATTCTAAGGGTGTGTTCAATATATGAAGGAAAACGGTTTCCTAGAAAATAAGTAGATTTCTTACTATTAATTTTGATTTTGATCTTGTGTGCGGTAGACATGTGAAAATATTCTCCTAAAATTATTTAAACATAATCTAAATAAATAATATTATGAGAGATGGGATAGAGTACTTTATGGGGGTAGGGTGAAAATGAGGTGCGTTGGAGCTTGGAGGGTGAGAGGAGACAATCAATATGGAATGCCACTTGTAGAACTTGTTTTTTCGTATTTACATTGAGGAAGTCATTTCCTCATCATTTTTGGAACTTAATTTACTAGAGAAAATATTTTCCTATCAAAATGCCATTGACAGCATGGAGCTTCTTTTGGAAATAATATTCTACAAAAAAATTGTAGTGCTTCAATTCCCTTTGACAATCTTTACAAAATGTCAAAGTTCATTCCATGGAGGCACCCATTCCAGGCACAAAATCTCTAACTTTATGTCACTATTTTTGTTGTCACAATTAGACAGACAATTTAGTATTCTGAATATTAACGATAAAGGCTTTATAAAATTTGTTTCTAGTTAATAAGGAAGTTTTTATATTCTTTAGTGATAAGGCACAAGTACCCCCTAGACTATGATCGAAATCTCAGAGACACACATAAATACATCACAAACGCTGAAATGGCATAGAGAGTTTGCACACTCTCTTGAAGGCAAGTGATGAGTGCACAAATTGGATTTTAAACACATGTCATTTTTTGATTGGTAACTTTATAATTAGTTCGTACACATATTTATTTATATTAAAACTTATATATGTTTAATTATTTTAATTTCTTTCTTCGTAAAATATTTATTTTAATTTCTTTCTCACTTTAAACTCTTTTTTTAATTAATTAATTATCTTTTCACTTTTAATTATTTTAAAAACATTATGTGTATTTTTTCTCAAAAATAATTTAAAAGTGTCCTTAATTTTAACCTTTAGATGTTTTATTTGATTTTCTTCACCCAATCTACTTTTAATGTTAAAATTCAAATCAATTTCAAATTAAAATGGAGTAGAAAGTCAAGAGGTTATAATCTCAAGAAACCAAAAGTACAACATTGGTTCTACTTAGCGATGAAATTTTTATAATTTTTAAATTATTTAGCCTTAATATTCCAGGCGAAGTTTTATATTCTTCGAACCAAATGCACATTCAAATATATCTGTTGAAATTTTTATATTCTTCAAACCAAAGGAGTAGAAAATCACATGATTTTATTCTCCATAAATCATACACAATCAAATTTCAAATGGAGTGGAAACTACAAAAATATAATAAAAATATATTCTGAGATCATCACATAATTAACATATATCCTAACATTTCTGAAATAAATCTCATAACTTATAAAGGTGAAATAGAAATAAAGAAGGAAAATAAAGATAGAACTCATTTTTTACTCCCATTGAATCATATCTATCTGACAGTAATGATGATGTCATGCAAGTCACTTTTCTTGTTGTCAAACGTCACTTAGGTCTTTATCCATGATCAATTTCTTTGGATTAAAATTAGAAAGATTCTTACAATATTGAATGTAACACACACAAAAGCATTTCTCTACCCAATTTTACCACAAAGGAGAATAAAATAATTAAGCCAATAACAAATTATTTAATTTAATCATCTTTAATGTGATCAATGTTATAGTCAGAAACTATAAGAAACTACCGTGTAGCATCAAGTCTAAGATTCCTTCATCATGTACTTACTTGGACATACTAGAATCATATAAATACCACAACAACGACTTTATGATATGCTGTGCCCCAATCCAAAAATTTGTCCAAAACAAATTATAAGAACACAAACTCCTACTTCCATGATCTATTTCCCTTAATCAAAAGAACAAAAAAAAAATCCAACAATATGATAATTTCCTTAAAATTGTAGTTCAACCTATATTACTAAGATACTAAGAATAATAACTTTGAAGAACATGGTAGAAACAACAAAGTTTAAAGAATACTTTAAAAACTAGAAACTTAAAACTAGCAAAGAAAATAGAATATAAAACATATTAGAAATAATATAAAAAATATATTTTCTCTCAGAATAAAATCGAGCCCACATAGTGTGTCCTTCAGGAAATTATTACCCTAAAGTACATGAGGTTAATGAGATATATCCTCCCATAATATAATGATCTTACTCACCAGTGTATCAATACCTAAAATGATGATGTCAGTGAACCACTCAACAACAGTAAGGTATACTTATAATACTGTACTAGATTTAATAGAAGAAGAAGAAGTCCAAAAATTCGTTGTTGAAAAATAAGAGGACACCCCTCTATTAATATACAACAAAGAGTAGTGTGAACAAGTGTTTATTGTGCCTTATAGAAAAGTTCACAACTCATTGGAAAAAGTAAAAATTCATAACCTTTCATAAAAGTCACAACCTTACGAAAAAGTCACAACTTTACATAAAAGTCACAACTCTTCATAAAAAGTCACAACTCTTCGTAAAAGACACAATTCTTCATAACAGTCACAACCCTTCATAAAAGTCATAACTCTTCATAAAAGTCATAACTCTTCATTATTCATTTACACCTTTTAAAATCCAACAATCACAAAAATAGTTCCTTTTTATATATGAAAATATATATGATTGTCTCCTTCCCTATATATAGACCCCAAATCTTTCTTCTTCTCCCATAGGTTTATTTGTGACTGATTTAAGAGTTTAAATCAGAAAAAAAGAGAAAAAGATAAGCGGAACTGATGGTTGACTTGTCAAGTGTTCTTTAGTCCCTTGTGCAATTCCAGAAAATAACACTAGGGACACTTCCCCCACTATTGTTCTGGTTCAGTGAGTATTCTTTTACAATTTTAATTCATTTCTCTTAGAATGTTTCATATAAGTTATAAGCTTATTGTCTTGACTTGTTCTCATGAGTCAATGTTTTTATATATGAAATCATCAATTTCAATTTACTCAATAGGGTGTAATGTGTTAGAATGAGATAATATTTCTCCAGTGGCATTTTTGAAGCGATCGTTTAAATTATGTCTTTAGTTAGCCAAGTGGACTAAATTTATTTACCCAAAAAATATCCATCTACCTACTTTTAGAGAAAAATTTAACCATTGAGATAAAAGGGGGGAAAATTTATAGAGTTGCCTTAGAAAAGATCAGACGGTGAAAACCATTGCGTCCTTATAGAATCTTTCCCTAATGAACTAGCTAGTTTTTGAGATTGCTTAAATCTCTCTCAAGATTAGTTCCATTTTCTTACAATTTGTTGAAATGTTCAATTCTTTGTTGGAATACTAATTTGGGATTTCATTTTTTGTGTGTATAGTGGTGATCCAACAATGTATGAGTCATATTTGAGAAAAATGGGGAACAAGTGTGACATAACATTCAGTGGTGATGATTCATTGAGTTATTTTGCTAATGGTAAGAGCTTGTGTTGGTTCTTGGAGTCAAAACTAGAGGAACAAATTAAGAGGGCTGCACAATGTAGTTGGAAATGCAATTGTGGATGATCATTATATTGTTGTTGGCACTGGATCAAGCCAACTTGTGTAGACTACCCTTTATGCTCTTTCTCCGTCTGATCAACCTGAATCAATCAATGTAGTTTTAGATACACCTTTTTATTTGGTACACGTTTATACCATATTCTTTTTATAAATTGTAAAGGATATGCTATGATCAATAAAATTAGCAGTCTAAAGTTATGCCTCTTGGTACATGATGAATCCGAGATTTGGACTCATTTAGGGCTTTGTTTATATAGATTTAGTATCCTCAAATGTTTAATTTATGCCATAAATTGATGTTAAATCCTTGATTTTCAATTATATTGATTGAGGAACAAATCAAGAACACTAACAATTCGCGCGCTACAAGAAAGTGTATAATTGGCAACAATTTTTTAGCAACAACAGTAAAATTGTTGGCTAAAAATCGATAAATGGCAACAACTTAATAAAAATTGTTGCTATATCATTAAACTTTTTAACCACGACTACTTTGTTGTTAGCAAATGTTTTGATGTTGTTGCAATTATTATATAGTCAAAATGATAACTATTAAATTTTAAAAATTTGCAACAACATTTTAGCAACAATCGATAGTATTGTTAGCAAATTTGAATAAATAGCAACAATTCTATTTAATTGTTGCTATTTTATAAAAATTATTAACCACAATTTTATTGTTGTTACAAAATGTTTAATTAGTTGTTGCCATATTTGTGGGCAATATAATAAATTTTAAATACAAATAGAGTTAGCAACAACAAATTAGAATTGTTGGCTATAAATTTTGTTTTGCCAACAACGTAAGTTAATTGTCGCATAAAATATTAGAATAACTGCTTATTTTTCAACTTTCCGCCAAAAAAATGCGCCAAATTTCTTTTTTATTTCTTTTCCGATTTTTTAGTCCACTCTTCCAGTTAACCCACCTCTTTCTAGGTTTTATTTTTCTCTGCGCTATATTGAGCTTTCCCTCTGTTGCATCATCTTCCTCTTCATCTGTTGGGTCCTTTTGCAATTGAATAGAGAAGAAATTGTAAGCAATATTTACTTTTCAAGGACTATTTCTTTATCTGATGCGTTTTGTAATTATCCAAAGAATTTTTTATGGTCTTTTGTGAATAGAGTTCTTAATTGTGTATTGAAATCATTGGAATCATATAACTCCTTAGTCACAGTCACTCCTTTACCCCCGATAATGGTTGTAACTCTTCTATTATAGGGGTTTAATGAAGACGAGTTGGAGACAGATTTTAGTTGGGTGTGGAAGGATGAAATTTCTTCTCCAAATTGATAGTAAATTTTTGAGTGGGCATTTGATTCTTCCTTTCGATTTTTTAAGAACTTCGGTTGGTACTTCGATTTCAATTTTCGATAATATATATCAAGTGAATTGACTTCGATTTGGTGTGATTTTTCTGGTTCGATTTGGTTCTTCCGTATGGGTCTTGTATACTATGCTATTTTGATTCTTCAAAATTCGCTATTTAAAAAAAATATTTATTCTTGTTGAGATTGTATTTATCATAGAAACAACGTGGAACACGATAAGCTTCTTGAATGGTTCCTTACTTTGGTATCAAAAACTTGAGAGAACTTTTTGAGAGATTAGCTGATTTTCATAACGTAGTAAGGTGTTTTAGTTCTTGTATTTTATTTATAACTTGGGCATTTAACTTAGCACACTAGCTAGGACTCAATTTTGATATGCTTTTTACATAGTTGTCCATAACACATTTCAAGCATATTAAATACCTACAGATTCATGTAATGTTGTGCTTATATTTTTAAGTAGTTATATTGCATTACGCTACTGTATTTTTTCATTCCTTTTCAATTATATATTCTCGTCTACACTAGTTAAAAATATGTATTGAACAAAGTTGCAATGACAACATTGTGCATTATTTAAAAAATGAAAGCAAAGTCAGGAAATTTAATCTTTGTGCTTAATACGATAAGTAATCATCTCATAATGAGATATAGTATATTATTTGTATCTAATCTTGTGTATTGTGTATGTAATATCCTGCAATATTTTCCTGCTCAAGTTCAATCTAGACTAACTTACTGTGACTTGTGAATGTAGTTGTCGGTGGCAAAGCTAGTAATATTGTTAAGGGTCTTCAAAGGTATGTTTCTCTATTTTCGTCTTCTATATGAGAAATCTATTTTGACTTAATTGTTACCTCAAATTGTTCTTCTTATGATGTTTATGAGCTATATGTCCATGTGATCATTTAGTTGTTGCTTTTCACGCATTTGTTTTGATTAGTTAAGTGTTAAAGCATCAGTTATTCTCTATAAATTTGTTTTGGCAGAGTGGACTTCACCTTTCATTGTTTAAGATAATAATGCACCCTTTCACTCCTTACCATCTTAATTGATGTGGGTTGACTTCTAAGATTTGAATGGATAATTATATTGGATGTTGAAAAAGTGTAGAAGGGGAAAGTGACTAAATGAATTTTTGAAATAATGTGAAGTAACATTTTTTTTGTCACCCAAGATATGATCTAGTGGTCAATGAACTGGGATGAGCACAAAGAGATCTCATGTTATTTTTTGGTCACTAACTTGGTGTTGTATATTAGAATGCATTGATTGTATAAAAAAGATATTTACATTTCCAGGGTACATAACTTAAATACTAAAAGATATCGTGCAACTCTGAAAGTAAAAGATAAACTAGCCTTAAATATATCAGAAGCACTAAGTCAAATATAAACATATAGAACTGGAAATTTCCTTTGTATCTGAAGATTAATAAGTGATCACAAGCAATTGAATAGTACTCCTTGAATTCGTTCCAACCTTCATTTAACCATGCCATGCCACTAAAGTTTAGCATTTTTACTTTCCATACCACGCCATTTGGGACCTCAAGCAACACAATATCTCCAGATTGGCGCCATGCTTGATTATTAATTCATTAGGGATGTGTAATTTAGAGGGATGTGAGACAGGATAATCTTGAAGTAGGGGTTATCTTCGGGATATCTACCGTTTTAGCTTCCCCTTGCCCTCGTGTCTCTGCCATCCCTTCTGGCTTCTTTTCCCGTCTGGCTGCCATGTCTGCCGGATGCTCTTCCCATCTGTCTACCATCTCTACTGGTTGTTGTTCTCGTGGTAATCTACTGACAATTTTTTCCAATTGCTTTAGGAAACTCATTAGGAGAAATAAAAATGTGACCAAAACACTCATCAATTAGCTTCATTGCTCTACTAACTGATACTCCAGTGTTCCATAAACAGGTCAACTGAGTATCTCCCCTCCCTCCCCCCCACAGTCCCTTTTCGAATCTGGAGATGAGATCTCGAGTTCAAATGTTGAAACACCCTCCGTTGCCTAGTGGTCAATGAAGTGACTCAAGAACAATGAGATCTCGGATTCAAACGTGTACACTCCTTCTTTTGACTAAACCTTGGGGGTAGAGTTATCTAGTATCTACATTGGTGGGCCGTAACATGTATTCAGCGGAATAGTCGATGTATGTGCAAGTTGATCTTGACACCAACATCATAAAACAATAGTAGCTCTTATTTAAATGTTATTTGTACTTCCATTTCTGGACTTGCTTTGGACTATTTTTCTTGAGTCGAGAGTCTATTAGAAATAATCCATCTACCTTTGAGACTATTTGCACTTATGCAAAAAGAAAAATTGACTATTAAAAAGACAGTAGCTCTTATTCAAATTGGACTATTTGCACAATTTGACTTTTTGACTTTCTCCAGTATTATTTTTCACATTTTTATCATTTTCTGATTCTTGCAAAAATAAATTGTTATAGAAAGCATGCTTGAATTCAGTCTGGTGCTGATTAATAGCGTATTCATACTGTGTATTGAAGCCACCAGTTACTTGTTTAAGTTGATCAATTTTTACATGACTTTCTTGACAAACTAATAAATCATTCTTGGTTGAGAGATCTTACCAGCTAACCTGCTTGTAAGACACTTGACAAAAAAATTTGGGTTGTTTTTATCTTGCTTGTGTCTGACAGAAATGTAAAATTGCACATTGTGTCTGAATTTGTTTTATCTCTTTCTTGTTTTCTCGTTGTGTATATCATATATGTCAATACAGAGACATATAAAGATACATAAAAAACAGTAGCTGCTTATTTTTTCTTGCAGATCTCAGTAAAGTGAGTTAAGCACTTTATAAGATTTCTGAAACTTTTGCTCAATTAGGTAAGTTTTCTACTTAATATCTTACTCTGTCTTGTGCTTTACTTTTCAACTTTTCTTTTTAGTTGTTTGTTTCTCCAATTAATGGGACTCTCTCTCTTTGTCATTCGCTCTTTCTCTTTTGTGTAATTGTAATGTTTAAATATGCAATAGTGATATACCCATATATGTATCTCTCAGAGATTTCATTGAATTGTGCTAAGTTATTTGATTTGGTTACATATGCGTGTGAGAGGGTGGATAGGATAAGAGGTTCTATGAAATTAGTCGACGTAGGAGAATATTAATCTATCATACACTACAATAATTTTCTTGATAATCAACAATCAATATGAAGGAAACTTAAAGAGAATTCATATACGAGGAGTAGCTAAAACAATGTTATATAGTGTTGTATCATAAAATAGTTTGGTATTTTGATTAAGTTAGAATACAATGAATTTAAAATTGAAATAGCTTAAAGTGAAACTTTTTGTCTAACATTGTATTCTAATAACCATTTCTCGATCTGCTCTAATATTTGAATTCGGAGTCCATTTTAAAGAATTTTTTTTGGGAGCTTTTCTCTACTTATTTTTTGTACTATAAACAATAGCAATTTAAGATATAGTTAATCATATAATTTTATATTTAATATATTATATGTCATTGTAGGTAAGTATATGATGGATAAAAGTTGGATACATATTAAGAATAGGACATTACCAGAGTACTTGAATGGTATGGAACAATTTTTAGACTATGCCTTTTGCAATCCTGAGATTGGTGTAAAAATTCAATGTCCATGTACTAAGTGTAGTAATGTGCTTTGGAAAACAAGAGAAGAAGTAAAGAATGATTTGCTTAAGTGGGGAATAAATCCAACTTATGATAGGTGGATTTTTCATGGTGAGTCGGAGGCATCTTCAGATGATGAAATGAATTCTGGTGCAGATATAAATTTTGACAACGATGATACTTCCACTTTTGAAATGTTAAATGACATGTATCGTGGTATCCCCACTAATAATCATGAGTTTGATGAGACCACTGAGCCTAGATATGAAGAGCCTAACATAGAAGCAAAGAGATTTTATAACTTATTAAAGGATGCAAAGCAAAAGTTATATCCAGATTGTGAAAAGTTCTCCAAACTCTCCTTTATAATGCGCCTGTTTCAAATGAAATGTCTACATGGTTGGAGTAATACTTCATTTGACTCTTTGTTGAAATTATTGAGTGATGCTTTTCCAAAGGAAAATGTGCTCCCTAATTCTATCTATGAAGTTAAAAAGATCATAAAAAATTTGGGTCTAAATTATGTGAAGATAGATGCATGTATTAATAATTTCATCTTATATAGAAAGGAATATGTTGATCTTGAGCAATGTCCTAAATGCGGTGAGAAACGATGGATTGTAAGAAAAGAAAAAGATAATGATGATGAGCCTACTTCCAGAAATTTGAATAAGAAAAATAAAGGAATTCCTAGAAAGATTCTTAGATACTTTCCTTTGATACCAAGGTTACAAAGATTGTTTATGACAAAACAAGATGCCGAAGATATGAAGTGGCATAAAAATAAGCGAGTTGATGATGGAGTACTAAGGCATCCAGCTGACTCATTAGCTTGGAAAACTTTTGATGAAGAACATACGACATTTGCTTTAGATCCACATAATGTAAGGCTTGGGCTTGCTTCAGATGTTTTTAATCCATTTGGTTCTATGAGTAATTCTTATAGCATTTGGCCAGTAGTCTTGATTCCATATAATCTTCCTCCATGGCTATACATGAAGCAATCTAATATTTTGTTGTCCTTGCTTATTCCCGGCCCAAAAGGCCCTGGTATGAATATTGATGTGTATCTCCAACCTCTGATTGATGATTTGAAAATCTTATGGGAGAGTGGAATCGATACTTATGATGCTTTTAAGAAACAAAATTTTAAATTGCATCCTTCTTTGTTGTGGACAATTAATGACTTTCCAGCTTATGCTATGTTGTCCGGTTGGAGCACTAAAGGTAAATTAGCTTGTCCGGTTTGTCATGTACATACTTGTTCCACTTACTTAAAACATGGTCGAAAGCTTTTCTATATGGGTCATCGTAGGTTTTTGGAGAAAGATCATTCTTATCGTCGAAATAAAAGTTGTTTTGATAACACAAGAGAAGAAAGAATTGCACCAGAAGCTTTGAGTGGAGATGATGTGCTTGCACAACTAAATACATTCTCACAAGGTTCAATTGATCCAAACACAAAAAAAAAGAAAACGAGATGCTGGAAGATCTGACAATTGGAAGAAGAAAAGTATATTCTTTGAGCTTCCATATTGGAAGAGTGTGTTATTGAGACATAATTTAGACGTAATGCACATTGAAAAGAATATTAGTGAAAAAATGTGCTTGGAACATTGTTAGATATTGAAGGAAAAACAAAGGACACACTAAAATCACGGCTGAACATACAAGAGATGAGAATCAAAAAGTCCCTCCATCCAATAAAAAGTGGGGATAA